GAGTCTGACCAAGAACCAGAGTCTGACCCAGAGCCAGAGTCTGACCCAGAGCCAGAGTCTGACCCAGAACCACAGTCCGACCCAAAACCAGAGTCTGATCCAGAACCAGAGGAGAATGAAGATGACTGAACTGCAGTTTCTAAGTCCAGACCTTGTTTAGAAGTTCTGTCACAAAAACTGTGATGTAATAGTTCAGGAAACATCATAAAAATTGAGAACTGGTTGAAAAAAAAGGCCCAAATTGAAAATAAAGATATCTTCGCAGCAACAGGAGAAATTAAAGTAAAAAAAATTGCACTCCTAGAGACTCCCAGTGCACAGCAAAATATATTTAACAGCTAAAAAGTTGATTTTGCATGACAGTATCCCCTTTAATTCACTTTGTAACAAAWACATTATCGCCTCTTCGCCTTGGCYGGTAATAAGAAACAACCAATTTCTGTCATGTCTCAGCTTCACAGCCTTCTATTTGTTCCATGAAGCTTTAATAATCAGAATCCCATTTGCTCTATTGACGGCTAAGGCAGTGTTGATGCAGTGTGTGTATGTGTGTGTACTTGTTTCTGCTACAGAGAGAGGCCGTGTGTTTTTAACCAACAAAGTGAGGACATTTTGAGGAAGTGAGGACATATTCCCAGTCCTCACTTTGTTTGCAGCTCTACTGCTTTACTAGTTAGGTTTATAGGTATGGTGTGAATTAAGTTTTGGTTCAGGTTAGAGTTAGGAATAAACCAATAATGTTAGTGTTATGGAAAATGTCTGGGTTAGGCATAAATGCTGTTAAAAATGAAGAGGTCAATACAATGTCCTCAGTTTGATGCAAATACAAGGATATGTGTGTGTGTGTGTGTGAGCCTGCTCAGCGAGCTGCACGGACACGATGGTTGGTGAGATCACTGTGACACCAGGACTGACAGGAAAAGCAATAAACATAGCTCAACATTGAATCGTTTCTTCTCTGCTCCCCTCATCTTCATCTCCATGCTGATAACAATAAGACTAATGCTGTATATTTATAATTAATGATGCCCTCGTTCTCGTGGTAATTAAGTCCTGAGCCCTGTGTACACACTGACTTTTCAGTAGTGAGAGGGATGGAGAAACTCAAATACTGCAAGTAAACATGATTGCATTTACAAAAAAAAGCTCTCATTTCCACCCAAGCAAATACTGTTGTCAGAAAAGTAAAATGATTGCTGTGCAGAAGTGTCCCAGCGGGAATTCCTCTAGACCTTTTGTTGAAACATAATTATCACTTGAGCTTCAACAGGAAGTCACTTTGCTTCATTAAAAATATATTTTAAAAATCACCTTTTAGGCTCTGTATCAGCCAGTMTCATAAAAGATGCCGTTCCCTCTCTGTGTTTGTTAGCAAAATATCTCATGAACCACTGAACAGATTTTAAGGAAGCTCTCAGAAAGCAATCATTAAACACACATCTGCAACAGATTCAGTTCTGAAGTCAATTCGATTGAAGATGGTCGCCACAAATCACCCAAAAAATGATCTTAAATGAGTGAATTTTAGAGATCCTGAGCTAAAATCTGGTGTTCTAGTAGCTGAGACCGATCTCTGGTACATAGTGCAGGTGCTAACTCTGTCATGTAGAAGTAGAAAACATGCATTTATTGCTATTTTCATCCTAAATAAGAGATAAACAACCACTGCATCCAAAACTACCTTTTTAAGTAAGTCAATTTTATTTTTATAGCACCTTTCAGAAAAACATCATCAAATACTTCGCAAAGAGCAAAGATAAAACAAATACAATACGCCAGAAAAGCATACAATGATACGAAGCCCGCGAGGGGACATGGGAGATTTTTTTTTCTTTTGCGTTACCTCGCAATACCATTTGTGTTCCCTCGCAAGACATCACTTATCACTGWTGTGCCTGKTGGTTTATTAACAAATTCACCTGCTCACCATTAGCAAGTTAGCTTACTGCTTTAATTCAGCTTCAGAATGAATAAATCACACAGCCACACATGGAAGTATGTCATATGCTGATATTTTAACAGTGTGCAGCCACGCAACATCAATGTCAATTTCATGAACTTGTGGCGACACATCCTGTTTTGGTAACTGGATATTTCAATATAAAAGTCTGATTTAATTCAGTTCCCATACAAAACAAATTTTTGCYTTCCCACGCAAAACATTTTTGCGAGGGAATGAAAACGTTTGCGAGGTAACCCAAAATGTTTTGTGAGGTAACGCAAAAGCATTGCGAGGCAACGTTAAAAGATATTGCAAGGTAATGCAAAAGTTATGCGAGGTAACGCAATAGTATTGGATGGGAACGCAAAAGAAAAAAATCCCCCCATGTCCCCTCGCAGGCTCTGTTCTATAAAACAAGTTAATATGACAATAAATCACTTATACATTTAGCTAAAAGCTTGTCTGAACAACATGTGTTAAGCTGCTTCTTAAAGTGTATCTTACCCCGCTGTGAAAAGATAACTCCGACCCAAGGCGAAATTTGAAAAATGCATCAAAGTGGGTAGGGGAGGGGGTGTGGGTGGGGCAGGGGGGGTTAGAGAGCGGAGGTCTGGCCAGGATGAGAGAACGCGACAGGCAGCTAGCATTAGCATAATTGATGCTACATGGAGAGTGACCACAGTATCGCAGATAGTAACATCTCTAAACGTCTGAAGTGGAGGATTTTTTTTACCCCCCTCCTCACCAGAGGCAGAGAGAGACTTGATCAAGTCAGCTCAGTCTGGGACTGACTCATGTTGGTTCTGATCAGGACCTGGAGCTCCAGCAGCCTCGGCTGAGCTGTCCGCCTCACCAGCCTCGGACAGAGGAGGTGGAGTGCTCCACGACAGCCTGACAGAAAAAAATAAAAGCATACAGCTGCAGCTGCTCACAAGATCGCTAGTTAAAATCAGG